GAATCACTGTTCTTTGGTCTCCTCTTTCCCTCCCTTACAGTGTCACTTGGAGGGGGCTATGGCTCCTGAGCAAAGCATCCATTGCCTGACCGTCTTTCTACCCGTAGCTCTACGCTGACTGTAGACTGTGACTGCAGCACACACCAGGGTCCCAGTGCTCAGGGCCCCCATGACCATGCACTTCCTGAGTCATCTTAGTTCTCTGCGTCATCCATGCGTCATACAGAACCAAGTGGACTGTCAGTTGTTGTCTGCTGCTTGAAGGAAGGAATGAACTCCTGTGGTATGGGGCAGGGCAGAAGGGATATTGGGATCAGACAGACCTGGGTCAAATTTCCGCTCCTCACCTACTGGCTGTGTGGCCTTGGACAAGTCATTTAGCTTCTCTGAGCCTCAGTTTCTTTGTGAAATGGGAAGCCCAGTGCCTACCTCCCTGGATTGCTCTCAGGTTCAATGAACAATGGCACAGTGGCTGGCGCCTGCATAAAGGCTCCGTAAAGTGATACGAACTTTTTCAGAGTCTGCACATCCCCGAGTCTGTGCTTGCTGGGACTCACCGTTTCAGCATCCCATCTCTCTGGCACCTCCCAGGTCCCGTGCACTCCCAAACCACTCAAGGCTCAACCTGGCCCTCAAAGAACCAGGCATGAGGACAGAAAGCTGCCCACCTTCATCCTGAAGGAACCTGGAGGCTACCTCTTCTGTCCTCTATGGGGTCCTTGTCTCTTTCCCCATCCTTCATCTTGACAGGCCCAAAAAGACATCCCAGAGCCCAAACCAAGCTGGAAGTTCCTGAATTCAAGGGGAAAAGCCCCACACTAGTTGAGGGAGAGTTCCCAAGGCCTGGGTGCCCCACACCCCTGGCCTGCCTGCTCCCTCGAAAAGGGTCCGGGTCCCTCCTATTTTCCCAGCCAGGAGGCCTGCCCATTCCCACATTACCACATGAATGGGCCACAAGCCCCCCTGTCCACTCGAGCAAACAATTTGGCTAGCAAATTGACATAATTATGAGAGACTGAGAGAGAAGAAAGCCGCCCCCACCCCCATGGCCCCCCAGCGGGCGGCTCCTGCCGAGCTCCTCTTGGGCTTTGTGGGCCGGGCGCTCAGGGCTGATTAGAAACCTTGTGGCCTTTTCAAGAGCCCTAAGTGATTGCCCCCTTAATCTGATTACAATTTGCAGAGCCCCTCCAGCCGCCTCTGAAGGGCCGTTCTCAAGCACCCCGCTCGATGGTGCGCACACACAAGTACACACACACACTCACACACACACACTTAGCACCCACTCACGCTTGCTGGTGGGGGCGCCGCCTCTCCTCGCCAGGCCTCACCTCTTTAGGCAGGGGCCTCTGCGTCTGCCTAGTCGCTGCCCTCAGGCCCCCCTCCCCTCAAAGTAGGCTCTAAACTTCAGACACACACAGGGGGCTGACGCTGCTCCTAACACACTGGTCTTTTTCTTCTTTTTTTTTTTAATTTTTTATACCATTTTAAAGGTTACTTTCCATTTACAGTTATTACAAAATATTGGCTATAATCCCCTGTTGTACAATTCATCCTTGAGTCCATCTTACACCCATAAGTTTGTACCTCCTACTCTCCTCACCGGCTCCCCATTGGTAACCACTACTTTGTTCTCTATATCCTTGGTAACCTATCTTTACAGAGTCTTACTCAGATGCACTGCCCAGGTCAAGGGCACATGGTACACTCACCCCATGGGCACGCCTCCCCATCACCCACCCCTCCTCAGAGTGTCCATCCGAGGATCCAGGACCAGGCTGCCAGACCCCACCCAAGGCAACCCTCTCCCCATAGCAGCTCTGTTTCCGGGGATTCTCGGGCTGCAGCTCCCAGGGGATTAGGCCCAGCAGGCAGCCTGGACACAGCTCAGGCACAGGCTGCTTGGGCCGCCCCCATGGGAACTGAGTTCGCAGGGCTGCCGTCAATGGCCTCAGCCCTCCTCATCCACTTTGTAGCTCTTAATCCCCGAGGCTCAGCCACAATGGCTCCTTTTCCCATACTTGCTTCTGGCTCTCACAGGCCCCAGCCTGGCCTCCTGTCAACAATCGGAGCTCTCCTGGGCTGCAGCTCAGGATGAGAGTAGGGTGGGGGACAAAGCTGGGGCCAAGGCAGAAGGGCTCTGGCCTTGTTACCTAACCACCTCCACCCCAGGAGATGCAAGTTGGCCAAGTATGTAGGAGAGGGGACATGTATACGGCCCTCCAGAGTAACCCCCAGGCTGCTGCACCCCTATCTTTCAGGCCGTTCAGCCTGGCGGCCCTGAGAAGGGTGTTCTCCACTGAGGAGCCCCACTCTTTTCTCAGACTGTCCTGAAGAATTTCATCTCCTGTCTGGGCCAAGAGCCAGAGAGCAGGGAACATGGAGTCCAGGTTCAGACATTGGAATCAAAGGGATTTGGGCTCCAGTCTTATCCAAGCTCCACTTTTAATAACAGTGTGACCTTGGATGGGTTACTTACCCTCTCTGGACCTCAGTCTCCCCACTGGTGAAATGGGTGCCCCCCATCTCTCTCAGGGTTGCTGGGAGGTTAAACAGAGGGGCCTGTAGGGTCAGCATGGTACCCAGCACATAGTCAGTGCTCAGTTCATGGCTGCTGTCCTCATTTGTTAGTCAAGAACAGGAGGGGACCTGAGATATAGCCACTAAACATGCAGATGCTGGGTGTTCCCCTGCAGTCCTGTTGGAAACCCCAGGCTCTACAGGATCCTGGAAAACCTTTACAGCCTTGTTTTCCAGGAAAAGCCTCTCAGGTGCCAACATTAAGACCGGATCTTTGATCACGTGACCCAGAGCTAGTTCCTGCAACAGGCGCCCAGACCCAAGTCTCTTCCTCCTGGGGCCTGGACTTGGGCTCCCAGTGCCGCCTCTACATGGCCCCCAGGCGGTTGCCCGACACTTGCCCTCGGTGCCCTCCCAGCACAGCCACCAGGACCCCATCGTGTCATCAGGGGAAGGGGCCGGCCGCAGAGCCCTCAAAGCCTGGTCCTCTGCCGGACCTAATGCCGTCAGCTGGGCTGTTAGCAGGATCTCAGGGCAGGGAGGTTTCGGGATCTCCTCCAACAGGCACCTTGCCCAGCGCCGCCGCCGCCCCTCCCAGGCCCTCCGTGGGCGTGCCGGGCTGGGCCGGGCCGCCTCCGCGGGGGAGGGAGACTGGGGAGCGGATCAGCTGAAATCAAAGCCGCCGCTCCCCTCCCCGCCACGCCGCACCCCTGCCGAGCCGCCGCGCACCTCCTCC